TGAAAAAGATTTATAAAAGGTATTGACAAAAAAATGTTAATAATAAACGATAAAATTAAGAATAAAAATTCACCTAAAACCACCTAAAATTAATAGATTAGTAATTACTATGAGATATAAACCAAAGTTATAATATAGATAGACAACCATTTAACACTTAAAAATCTCTCCTAACATATTAATTTTACTTTTAGAGCAAAGAAATTAACCACTCTTGCATTGTCTCCTCCTCTACTATGGTAAAATCCGATAAAAATATTGAAAAAACTTAGGCAAAGACCCCAAAAAAGAGAAACAAACTACTCAAGAGAGAAACCTTCACTTTGAAGGAGAAACTCCCACCTTTTTTTCATCATCTTTGGCAGCCATGGGGGTGAGAGATTATGTTGGAAGAATTTGAAGATGCCTCTTTCAGTTTCTTCACCTGCTTGCCAATCAGGACATGAGAATGATTCCATCATGCTAAGGTTCTTAGCCATCAGCCTCTTCTTCATGTGTCGGTGCTAAGCCGCCTGAATGAAACAGGCGCCCAATGTCCTCCATTGGTAAGAATAGTAGCCGAACGTGTGCTGTAGCTTCTTGCTATGGAGTCTCGCTCGCCTGAACTGATCTCTCAAGTGCAAAGGCTTCCACTACAACTAGGCCAGCACTCATGGTATCTTGTCGTGTATATTTGTGAAACCATGTCAGTGTCCCGTTGGGGCTGTCTGGCAGAGCCTATTTCAAGTCATATATTTGCGAATGCTGTGCTGAGACTTCACACTTTTTTTCACGTTGAGGCTTTATACTACGTCTCTTGAGGTGGAAAAGGTTTTCAAGGTGAAGTTGATATTGTTGTAATTTTTCTAATATTGAATTGTATAATAAAAAACAACTTTTTTTCATACCTCTTAACATCTTAAATTATACAATAAATCACAATCTTCTCATATCTCTTAACCTACCCCACTCCATGTCACAGGTAATTCCAGGACTAAGCTCTCTCCTTCAAGAGAGTCCATGAAAACAATCATTGAACCAAATTAAAGTCCCATATTGATTGACCACGTTCATGGGCACAGCTTTTGTCTGCTTAAATGTATGATATGTATGATGATAAACTTTGTAGGCCATCTTTATAGATGTAGATGCCGCTTGACTTATTTTTAATAAAATTATTACATCATTTAGTTTTATAGCTCAAAATATAGAGATAAGGAATTGAGGAAAATATAAACACCCATCATAGAGACAATAATATCATTTCACAAAGATTATTTCAGGTTCAAATTGGCTTACCAAAAATTATTTCAAATTGTATATCCATTTACGTAAAAGACAACAGAAAGGGGTAGAACCATAGAGACAAAATAAGAAGCAAATTAAACACAAACCACAAAACTGGAAAATTTGGGAAGCTAATCTTGCCCAGCAGGATCTGAACTGCTATGCCACTGCAGCCAACTGAGTAGACAAATCTCAATCAGCTAGGCGAGATCACCATCCGAGATGATAAGGATCTGGAACTAAAGGCCTCCCAACTTTTTCATAGATCTGGTAGCTCAGTGCAGCATTTATTAACCACCTTAACCACCCAACACCTACCCCCCTAGATGTCTACCCTAATCACTTTTTGACCATCCCACTCCCGGACTCCCATCCTCAAACCTAGTGCAAATGTCAAAGACTCATCTACCAAGATGTTTCATCTGATGCAGACACTATGAGGAGGGTCCAGAATCCTGACTTTCCAACCCGACAGAAGTTTCCAAATTCATTCTTCCTGTCATCTGAATGACCAAAAAAGTCCTTAAATAAAATAACCAGTGAGAAAATTCATTGCATTCCAAATCCATCAATTTCCTACCCAAAAAAGAAAAAGACAAAAAGAGCATCTCTTGTAAATCCTTTCATAACTTCTTAGTGCTAATGAGAATTTACAACATAAGATCTAAAAGTTACCAAACCCCACTGTTTAAGGACCCCCAAAACCAACTTCTGTGGAACAGATATAAGTACCTGCCAGAAGCGCAGCTCCTCAAATCCTTTTATAAGTTAAAGAAAAGAAATGCCAATAGAGTTTTGAGGGAGAGACATCACAGCTGGGGAGAGATTCAAACAGTAGCATCTAGAGATGTGACGAAAATGGGACCCACAATTTTCCGAGCATTGAAGATCCCATATCCCCATAGCAAGGCAGCAAACAAGAAAACCTCAAGGGGGTGTAGAAGCAGAAAACCAATGAAGACACCTCAAAAAAAAAAAAAAAAAAAAAAAAGCAAGAACTTTTTAGCAGAGTTCTCAGGAATGCTTTCTCAATAAATTTAGTGATTATATCCCTGTCGCCTATGTAATTTCTTAAGCACATTAGGACTTTCCAGCATAGATAAGCAAAAGGAAACCATCATAGCAATTAAGAAAGAAGAACACTTATCCAAGTCCAAGAGCCTGTGGGCGTTGCCTAATTAAAACATAGTCCGTATTGAAGTCCAAACATACTAAACACAATTAATCCCAATGTTGCCAGAACAGAGCAAAGACTGGTGGATGAATCTCAGCTCCTGCTTCGGCGACGATCCCTGGCACCATTTCTGCATAAGATTTAATAACCACAACTTAGTGAACGAAATGAGAAATAGCCATGGACTAGCGGAAATGCAGGCAATATAATATATATATATATACACATGTATGTATGTATGTATAAACAAGCAGGTAACATTTCAATTCCAAGAAAAGTGCCAAGTTCAAGAAGCTTCACCCATTGGCATACGTTAATTCTTCACGTCCACGGTATGGTGGAGACCTGCTGTAGCTGCGTCCACGAGGAGAGGGGCTTTGGCGTCTTGGAGATCGTCCTCGGGGGCTGTAATCATGAGGTTTAAGCATCAACTAATGCACATACTAAGAAAATACAAATAGAAAAATATAAGACCAAACTGACATTACCTTCGTCCATAGCTTGGGCTACGACGATATCTAGGGCTGCGGCTGCGGCGTCTTCCTGCACCACCTCGCATGCGGCACTCACGAGCAAAATGACCTGGCTCGCCACACTCGTAACATTTCAAGTCAGAACCACCAGAGCGCCCACGACCACCTCCACCTCCACGCCCACCTCCACCTCTAGAATTGTGAGATAATTCAACCCTCCACCCATTCTTGCCTGCATCCAATATCAAAGCACAAATAAGCATTTATAGAAGGCAAATCCAAAAAATAATGCTTATAGAGATACTACTTCAAAAGAATGAAACTACACCTTGCTGTCATTGAAAAAAGAGAATGTATAATCCTACAAACAATTTATAAAGACAAGTGAAACTAGGCATTCCACAAACTCCGCCATTCTGTTTCATGGTTAAGCCTGGTTGACAAGCTTAATTTACAGAGAAGTTCCAACTATCACTGATTATAAGGGTCCTCTCCCCAAGATTCAATATATTCCAACAGAGCAGTTGGTTCCCACACCCTATCCACTCAACATAAACTCTTTAACATTAATGCAAATAAAATTGGAACAGAAAAACCACTTTCAACAAGCCAGCTCAGGTGCCTGCACTTCCAAGACACTAATGCAGTTCAGGTCAGTTGTGAACAGCCAGCAGGTAACGAAAATTCTCCAAGTACAAGCCTATTCAGCTATCTCTTCCAGCGGTTAGGAAGTGCATCCTCATTATGGGAACAGTAAATCCATCAAGGATCACCTACTTGCATCAGGAATTAACATTGCAGAAGCAGAAAATTGCAAGAGAACAATAATAATGATTTATTGCAGTTTTAAGAATAAAATAAAATAAAATAAAAGAATGGTAAGTATAGCTTATCTCCAAGGCAAAGCCTCATAATTTTCAACGAGAAAGTCTTACACTATCTGGATAGAATAAATATCCAACTTAGACAACAAAAGCAGCTAGAAAATTTAATCGGGATTCAGGACACAAGTTACCATCTAATTCACGGATTGCATCATCAGCATCCCTTCGATCATCAAAGTCAATGAAAGCATAGCCAGGAGGCCTTCGGGCAACCCACACACTGTACACAATATTCCATTAAATAAGTAAAAGCAACAAAAATATCCATCTAAAAATATTCCACACCAGACAACTGTGAATCCTCACAGCGACAGAAGACAACAGATACAAAGGCCCAAAATTTCCCCCATTCTTTGAGAATCAATTAGAAGCACACAAACCCCATTCAGATTTTCAGAGGCAACGCAATGGGAAAGACTATTGATGATAAAAAAAAAAAAAAAAAAAAAACAAAGATAAAGAAGCAAAAGCATGGAGACAATACAATAGAAAACATTGTACCTTCGAATAACTCCAAACACACGAAACTCATCCTCAAGCTCACGCTCAGAAACTCGTGGGTCCAGATTACCCACGTACACACGAGACATTGTTTCAAACCTGAAGAACCAAAAATCCTAAGTCCCTTCACGTAAACTCATCAGAATCAAAAGAGGAGAGATATCAGAGTAAGGGAGAAATCCGAACCTGAAAATCGGCGCCGGAGCACCAGAACAGAAACCCTAAAACACTTCTTCCACTTCCGTCTTTGGAATCGATTAACATTATATAAACCGGCGCAACTGAGTTAGGTTGTGATTTTCCAAAAATGCCCTTGCTTTATCATCTTTATTTCCAAAATCAGTGACCGCCATAATGGGCCCAACAAACTGGGCTTATACTTAGAGGTCTAATCTAAGTCCAAAGATCCTGGACCCAGAGGTCTCATCTATGGGCTCACTTCTTTCTTGTTCTCTCTCTTCCCCCCCCAGCGTCAACCTCTTTTGCTCGGCTTCTTCTGCTTGCGATCCACGGAAAGCAATGAATTTTGCGAATTTTATCATCACTTTCAGCAAGGTTTTTCCCTAATTTTTCAATGATTTTTCGTCGTTTCTCTTTTGTTCATGTTGATTCGATCATCTTCATCTTCGATTCTTCGTTGAAGTAATAGAATTTGGTACAGTAAATAAATTTCATCCTTGTTCATTTAAGTAATTTCAGTCTTTTTTTGTTGAAATAGGTCGTTTGTTTTTTTTTTTGAACTGGCTCGTTGAAATAAATCTTTTCCATTTCATTTCATTTCTTTTTTTTTTTTCAATCTTTTACTATTTTCATTAAATCTTAGCACGATTTGAGAAGATGAGTAATTTGCTAGATGAAGATGATGATGATGTCGGGGGGAAAAGACAGGATTTCAATTCCAGACCAGTTACATCTAAATTGTAGATCATGTTTTCGACAGTTCATGGACTATGAAGTTGATGTCGGAGAAAAGACAGGGATTTCAATTCCAAACCAGGTACATCTAAATTCTATAACATGTTCTCAACAGATCATGAACTGTGAAGTTACGAGGGTTAATTGTATCCTGAAAAGCTTTTGCTAACCACTTGATTGGAACGTGGAAGTCAAATTTAGCTGCTCAGGTTTGTCGATTTTCAGGTAATAATTTATGTAGTTTGTTAAGCAGGAATATCATTGGTCTATAATTTTTTTTCTTTTTTTTTAACAATCCGGGTGTGAAACTAGTTCTTTCTCTAGAGGCTTTGGGATTGAGGTATCCAAAAGGATAAATTAAAAGTTTGAAGCTTTTGTTTTCAAAGCATACATGTGCGCACCGGCTCAAGTGAGAAGTGAACAGTAAAGCGAGCACATGAATTTTGATTCTAGATTACCACCCATTAAGTATATAGTAATAGTAAATTACTTGGATTTTGGACCACTTGGTTTTAGTCAAAAAGCGTGATTAGATGCTACTTAGATTAGAACTATATTTAATGACCTCATACCCCAATTTTCCATCTACCAACCCACCAATAAATAGCTTTCTCACTAGGGCATCCAATGATTGTCCATTGGATTGGAGAAGTAACAAGGACCCTTCACATCATGCTGGTCCAGTCGTCCTTTTCAATCTTGTTTTTTTAAGCTTAATGTGTCTAGTTGCTAAAATTAAAGCAAATCTTGTCACATTTATGTCACCTGGATCCCTCCCTCTTTCTCTTCGCAGTTTCCTCTTTCTCTCTTTATATTGGTAATAAACAAAACTTGGGTCAGCAGTTGGAAAGAGTTTTTAAAGTCCAGAGGGTTGAGAGAAGAGAGGAGGAAAAATGGAGTTGATCGGTCTTCTGTTGAGGCTTTTTCCTTCTTTTACTCTTATAGGACTTGTTTGCTATGTGCTTCATCTTTACAACACAGTCTGGCTAAAGTCTCTGAGGCTCAGAAGGAAGCTTCTGGTCCAAGGAATCAAAGGGCCTCCCCCATCAATTCTCTATGGGAATGCACTGGAGATGCAGCAAATCAAATTGAAGGCAATGAAGACTCAAAGTCACAGTGAGATTGTGGCCCATGACTACACTTCCACCATCTTCCCCTACTTTGATCATTGGAGAAAACAATATGGTATGATACACGCAAATCTTTCTTTTCTTTCTTTAAATTACATGGTATTGGTATTCATCTGCTAACAATTGGATATATTTTGTTGCCACATGGTAGGATCAAAGGAAAGTGAAATCTTTTTTCCTTTTTCCTTTTTTGTTCATTAGGAAAATCATGATTAAACTTCATTTCAGTCGTAATTAGTTGGGTGCTTTTGTTCAAACGTATGCATACCCTTCGATCAGGCTCCAGTGAGAAATGCCAAATGTGGCTTTGGCTCAACAGATTGACATCTTCCCTTTTTGTTTACTTCTTTCTTTCCTTTTTGTAATCTTTGAAAAGAGTAAGTAGTTTCAATGTTCTTGTCCAAATGAAAAAGTTTTTCAAGGAGAACTGACACTGGAAAGACACGAGAGAAAGAAAAAAGGAGTGAGGGTAGTTAAGTCAATATGGATTTCAGAATTCTGGGCCAAATTACCTGGCTTGGTAGTTAAGTCTAAAGAAATTAAAAGCGACATATCAAGTTTGACCCCAATGCACAGGCATTGGCTACTGAGATGGAATCTGGTCCCAGGACATCAAACCATATTCAATTCATCAGGTCGGCAATTGACACTTAATTTTCCATGTGATTTAGACTTCTATAATTCTTTTATGCTTTCTAGCCTTTCAACTTTTCATCGAGAAAAGAAAGGAAGTATATCCTAGAGGGTGTAGACCATTTTTTTTTTTTTTGGTCAAATATTGATGGTGAAATGACTCAAGAAAATCTTATTCAGTAAGTAATAGCATATTTGATCTGCTAATAAGAGCCATAGCATTGTGTGGTTTGGTTTGGTACTGAGATAGCTGGCTTTCCTTTGGCCATAGTACTGAAGTAGCTGGCTGAAAACCTGAAAGCAGTAATGATTGTGCCATTATGGTCCCATTGGTCCTAACAGGATATTATGATCAAGATGCTTCTTAGAAGCCTACTGGTAATTAGAGAAACTCAAATTCATTTCATTTTGCTGTGAATGTCCAAAAGGAATTGATGTACATATTAATGGCACCATTTTAGCCTGCGTCAGGGTGTCTGTTTGATGAAGGGGGTGAATTGCAGGTCTGGTGTACACATATTCAACCGGACTCAGGCAACACTTGTACGTAAATGACCCCGAGCTAGTGAAGGAAATGAGCTTGTCTAATACCTTGGATTTAGGCAAGGCTTCTTATATGACCAAGAGACTTCAACCCATGCTTGGCAATGGGGTCATCAGGGCAAACGGCCATTTATGGGCCCACCAGAGGAAGATCATCGCACCAGAGTTCTTCTTGGACAGGGTCAAGGTAATTAATATCTATCTAATGACATTTCACTCTTTTATTTATAATGCCATCACATTGTTCAATCTAATTGAAATGTAGCTGGGACATTGTCTCTGTGGTAGGACTTGGTAGGGCTAATGATAGATTCAACTCAGCCATTGCTAAGAAAATGGGAAGAATACATAGAAGCAGAAGGTGGAGGGGCAGCGGATATCCAGGTTGATGGGGATTTGAGAAGCCTCACAGCAGATGTCATTGCAAGAGCATGTTTTGGGAGCTCTTACTCTAAAGGCAAGGAGATTTTTTCCAAGCTTAGGATCCTTCAGACAAGCATTAGCCAGCAAAGCACTCTATTCGGGATGAGTAATTTTGGGTACAATTAATCTACCAACTCCTCTTTCTAAACATGCTAACATCAAAGTTACCATAATTATTTTTTTTATGTTGATTCTTTATTGGTAGATTTCTTCCTAACAAGGAGAAGAACAAGATTAGCTCGTTAGAAAAAGAGATAGAAACATTGATTTGGGAAACAGTGAAGGGACGCCAAACAGAAGGTTTGGAGACATCTTCATATCAAAATGACCTATTGCAGCTAATACTTGAAGGGGCTACCAGCTATGCAAATATAGGTACCGAAATCTCATCAAAGCAATTCATAGTTGACAATTGCAAGAACATATACTTTGCTGGCCATGAAACAACTGCTCTCAGTGCCTCCTGGTGTTTGATGCTGCTCTCTCTGCATCCAGAGTGGCAATCTCGTATCCGTACTGAGGTGGCTCAAGTTTGCAAGAATGGCCTACTTGATGCAGATTCTGTCTCCCGCTTGAAAACGGTATGAAACATATAGTCCTTGCTTTTCTATGAGGACCAAAACTCAAATACCTCATTTCTGCATGAATGAGTTAAAAGTTGATGTATTTCACCAAAAAAGAAAATTATTATGGCTATAAAATTGTATGACTATAGGTGACTATGGTGATTCAAGAATCCCTACGTCTGTACACACCAGCAGCATTTGTGGCAAGGGAGGCACTCGAAGATGTCCGAATTGGAAACATTGCAGTTCCAAAGGGTACATGCATATGGACCCTGATACCAACCTTGCACCGAGATCCTGAGATTTGGGGAACAGATGCAAATGAGTTCAACCCTGACAGGTTCTCCAATGGAATCTCCAAGGCTTGCAAGATCCCCCAAGCCTACGTACCATTTGGATTAGGTCCTCGATTGTGCTTGGGCAAGAACTTTGCAATGGTTCAATTGAAGGTGGTTCTCTCTCTCATTGTCTCCAGGTTTACATTCTCTCTATCTCCTGTTTATCGACACTCTCCTACTTATCGGATGCTAGTGGAACC